TAGTTAAGGAAGAAATCTAAACAAGCAATTTTGAGATAGAAAGAGAATCTTACAGAAGAGATCTTCTCGGATCATGGTTTGACAACTAGCAGAGTTAATGGTTTTGACGGGAGAGACATCAGGCTTTTGCACTTCCTTATGCTTCTCCATCTTCTTCTTCCACTTGGTGATTACTTACAGGGTATCTGATTTGGCTCAAGGAAACTATTCCAGCTAATATCCATCTTGGCCATTCTTGTGTTTTGCGACTTTCTTGGTGCGATATCCTTAGGCTGTACTAAGAAAGCACAGTAATCTCTCGCATGCATAGATCTGAGACAACGGTAGAAGGAAATGTGTCCTTGGGTGTTGATGTCATTTGAGATTACGATCACGTTTGGTGGGCTTGAAGACTCTGCTAGAGGAGAGTCCAGTTCCCATAAAGCAATGTCATTTACCATCCTAAGAAGTCTCGCAGTTTTATCCCGGGGAACTGTACATCAAAAGGAGATAAAGATTACATACATATATAAGAAAAGAGTGTCTAACAAAAAGAGAGCTTAAGGAAAAAGGAATATACCTTGGGGAACGAAATAGATTCTGGATTTGTCAAACTTGTCCAGTATGTCAAGTGAGAACGGTATCTTATCAGCATAAGCCCATATTGACATGGCTGTGGAAACACCTAAATCCTTAAGATTAGATTTGATTCTCTTGTAGATGGTTTCAGGATCAAGATCATTGGGGAATGGGTACTCGTGGACGTCCCAGAAGACGCCTGTCTTAGCTCCGCCTATGACAGGTGTGGTAGGCTCTGCACAAAAACGGACAAGGCATAAGCAATTACGAAATGAGAAATATTACAATAGAATTAAATGACTATATAGGACATGCTCTAGTTAGTTAACTAGTAAAGATGGCCAGATGAAATCTGAACAAGTAATTTCGAAATCATACCAGAGAAATCTTGCTTGTTCGAGCGACAAAGGGGAGAAGTAAAGACCTGTGGTGATGGGGTTCCTCTTTTATGGTCCATAGCCTTTCGTCCATCTAATAGATATGTAGAGCAACATAGTAGGTCTGGACGATGAAACAGCTGTTCTGACGCTTGGCTTTCAGGCTGAGGCTGTACTAAGAGAACATGGGAACCTCTTGAATTCAAAGCCCGAAGAACCCTTCGGGATTCCGTGTCTTGAGGGTGACTTTTCGAGATTACCATCAAATTTGATGATGATTTATGGTTGGATCCAACAATGTCCCGTAACATTTCAATATATGGAACTACAGAGAGAAATCATAGGTTAAAGACATACACATATATATAAGTAGAAGAAAAGAGGAGAGTAATCAAGAAAGTTAAGGAATTTACTTACCCTTGTGATTGGAGTACTTGATTCCGGCATCGAACAATTCGTTTAGCTCGGTGGCTTCCTTTATCTTCTCACCATAAGCAAAGATTTCCAAATCCGAACAACGATAACCCATTTTCTCAAGAGCTGATTTGATATTCGAATAAATCAAATCATGCTTGATATCGTCAGGGATTGGGTAATCGTCGATGTTCCAGTAGACGCATGTGTAAGCACCTGCGAACCCATAAACGATTATGAAAAGGAATCAAAAGACCGATTACAACAGGATTAGAGATATCCATTAACCATGATTAATTCACATATATGACAAAGATTTCTTACCGGCGAGTTCTTCTCTTTTTGCTTTTGGCATGACGAAATGCTGGTTCCTGCTTCGTAACCTGATCAGGTCTCCGAAGGTCATCTCTTCGAAGCTCAGGTCTCCGAATCCATGGTTTCGAGGCGCGACTTTTTTTTCTCTTGCGGGGTAAGAACAAAGGGAAAGTAAAAAATTGGGGCTGAAGATCCGTGCCTTGTTTTCCACCGTTGGATCTTCTTAACACATACTACCTTTTTAATGGTTTAGATGTGTGTATAGGTACTATGGTTGATAAACGATCTTTGAAATTCTGAAACGTTCGAGACATTATTATATATATAGCCCTTAACATGTATTTGCTGAAACGATATTTTCCTTTTCTATGTCCCAAACAAATTGATATTTTACCTGTTTGTTCAAAATAAAGAAGAAGATATTTACCTATTCTCTCTAATTAATTAATAAATAAATAAATAAAGAAAGGAGAATTTCCATATTATCGAGATATTATTATATACTAGATTAGGATCCGTCCGGTGGACGGGTTTTTAAAATTTTAAATAAAATTAAATATTAGTTTTTTAATTATGAATAGAAAATATATTTAAGAAATAAGAAGCTAAATTTTTAATTAGACAGAAGATTTGTTTATATATTCATCGTTTGCCTTAATACACTTATGTCCATATCTATATTTTAAATTTGTTGGTACATTTATTATAATAATAAAATAAATTTAAATTACCAATCACCAAAAATTTTGCCAAGATATTCATCATTATTTTTAGGGAAAATACCAGAAAAAACTTCCAGGTTGAAACATTTTCCCAAGTAAAACCTCCAACTTTTTTCGTTCCCATATAAAACCTCCAAATTGAAAAATTTTCCTAATTAAAACCTTCAACTTTTTTCGTTCCCAATTAAAACCTCCAACTAATTAATTTTCTCTAAATAAACTTTCAAGTCGTCAAACTTGAGCCCGATCAATGGTTGACCAATGATCGCTAGTAATTTTGTTCGGAATAATTAATAGTCGTTGACGACATCTATTTTTCGTTTATTTAGTTTCCAAAATTTTATATGAACCCTAAACATTAGAAAAAATGTATTCTAGTGTTCGTAATTAAGATTTTCATCTTTTCTATTGTAACTAACACATGTGAATTTTGATAACTAATTAAACGGAAAACATGTCGTTAAAAGCTGTTTACCGTTAGTTAATCATTGATTAGGCACAAATTTGACGACTTAAAAGTTTTTTTTAGAAAAAATTAATTAGTTGGAGGTTTTATTTGGGAACGAAAAAATTTGGAAGTTTTCATTGGGGAATTTTTTTGGGGGTTTCATTGGAGATGCTTCCGGAAGGCTCTGGGCATAGATACAAGACACTATAACGCCTGGTTCGGTCTTGGAAGGATCTATCTTTGTCAGGAGAAATTCGAGTTTGCGCAGCATCAATTTCAACTGGCTCTCCAAATAAATCCAAGATCTTCAGTCATCATGTGTTACTATGGAATTGCTTTGCATGAGTCAAAGGTTGGTACCTGAAATACGCTCTTCATGTCAACAATTACTTATATCATATATATTACTCTTCATGACTTTGTGATGTACTTATTTAGCTGTGAAATTAAGCTTTCCAGAAAGTTATAGTCCAGATATAATTTCTTAAGGTTGAGATAATATTTTGCAGAGGAACAATGAGGCGTTGAGGATGATGGAGAAGGCTGTACTCACTGATGCGAAGAATCCGGTCGCGAAGTACTTCAAAGCTAATATATTAAATAGTCTCGGTGATTATCACAAAGCCCAGAAAGTTTTAGAAGAGCTCAAAGAATGTTTTCCTCAAGAGGGCAGCGTCCATGCGTTGCTTGGCAAAACATACAATCAGCTAAAACAATACGACAAAGCCCTGTTACATTTCGGCATTGCTTTGGATTTAAGCTCTTCTCTATCTGTTGACATTCTCACATTCTCTTTATTTCTCACACTTGGTTTCATTGTCTTTAGAGAGAAAGAACAAAAACCATTACTCTTTAATTGTCTACATTGTATTAATGGATCACAAGGATACTTTTGTTACATCACACATACAAGCATACTTATACTACTTTACTTCTACTTCTACATACACATACACACACTTGCACTTGGACCTTACTCCTAGTTCTAGACTCTCTAACACAAGCAAGGTTAAACTACTAAACCTTACACAACAACAACTCTTAACCACTACACTTGACAACTCTACTAAGCTAGTCTTTGACTAACACAACACACTTACTCATTTGGGCCTAACAAAACATTTAGCCCAATCACTTATTCTTACAAAACAACACAAGCCCAACTTGTCTCTTGTTGTGTTGACTTTCCTCTTTGTCGTTGACATCTTCTTTCACGACAACATCTTCTCCGACATCGTCTTCTTCTTCCGATGCTTCTTCCTCTGTTCTTCATCTTCTTCTCATGGATTCTTCTTTTCTCTTTTGCAGGTTCAATCAAGGATACAATTCCAACACTATCTGATGCTGTCAAGATAAAGGTTATAACTCCTTCACCTTTTTTGCTTCACAAGCATCAATTATGGTCACATTTTGCATTTAGGAGTTGAGATTAGTTAAATCTGAGATCGAATAATGGATAAATTAATCAAAATGTTATGTTTCTCACGATAAATCCTTAAAAACTTACTTAATAGAAATTTCTTCACTGTTATTACAGGCTTACATGGAGAGGTTGATAGAGCGAGTCGAGCTGAAGACGGAGGAGAATTTGTAGATTCATCGTGCAGGTAATACACCCAATTATGTTTCTCATATAACCCAAAGTCATCTATAATTTTTCTCATCTTTAGATCAGTCTTGTGGATTTTCCCTAAAACAAAACTTTGAAAAATTTCACTTACTGGTTATATAAAATTAGAGGGTAATTACAGAAATTTGTATAGAGTTGGGTTAAATTTGCATTTCTTTTAAACTTGGAACTTCTTTATCAATAAAACTTATGTTTTTTTTATCTCGTTGCATAAATTTGTGGCACACATTGCACCAATGGTAACTACAGTCTGGTGAAGGATTTAAACTTTCAAGAAAAAGTAGAAAGTTAGGAAGTAAAAAGGAAAAAGGTTTACCACAGTGGCAATAATATAGTGTTTTTATTCATTCCTTTTCAAAAACGAAAAAAATTTGAAATAAAAAATGCAGTTGTAAAGCGTATATACAAGTCATCTAATAAAAAAAAGGGAAAACCCACTAGTTAATTTTTGTATGTCAATTTATTTTACATAGAAAAGCACGACCTGATGATATCCATATATTAGATGGTTATAATACATAGTGCAATCTAAAGTACAACTAAAGTTCATAAAAGAATTCAATTTTTCTTCTTCTTTTTCATTATTTGGGCTTAACAACATATTAAAGTGTTTGTGTAATGTTCCACGTTTAAGTACTTCTTTTTGTTGAATAGTCTTACTCTTTCTTTCCTCTTTATAAACCCCACACATATTGATCTCATTATCTATCTCTAATTCTAAAGATGGAGAAGAATGTATCAATAGGCAAGAAGCTAGGGAACATCGTACGTTTTGTCTTGTACATGTTCAAAACAAAGGCTCCTCGCCGACTTTAAAGCCACTCTCAAACGCGGCAAGAATCTTATGTTCCACAACCGCCGCCGTGTCCCAGTCACCGCCTCGGCTGTTACGTCCCATCCGCAGAAAGAGTACGAGTTTAGCTGCAGCGACACTCCTAACTACACATTCCCCTCTAACATGGCCGCCTCCAAGAAGAAGAGCCACCACAACAGCCTCTTCTCGTATGGTCACGCGCCACCGACCCTTGATGACGACACTTCCGTCTCCAGAGCCGTCCTAGAGCTGCTCAACAGCGGCGGAAATCATGATCAGGGAAATAACACCCCACCTTTGTCAGTCGAGGCCTTGACGGCGTTATCTACTTACTTGCCCGGATTTGGACGGAGTAATCCGTCAGTGAGGCCTTTACGGGTAACGGACTCACCGTTTCCGTTACGGGAAGATTGTGACGTGGCTAACGGATATGTGGACAAGGCAGCGGATGAGTTTGTAAAGAAGTTTTACAAAAACTTGAATCAGCAAAAGAAGATGATTGAGTCCTCAACTAATTAAATCTCTTTTTTGGCCTTTTTCCTTTCTCTTTATTTCTCTTCCTGAATATTTCCTCTATTTTTGGCTGATTTAATTCCGAAGTTGTAATAATTTTTTTTTTTTTTGTGTAATAATATTATTGGTTGGAGACTTGGACGGTGGGGAAAATTTTCTCATTTCTTGATAACATTAGATTATCATGAGTAATGTTTTATCCGGGTGGAGAGTATTTTCTTTAAATGTTTGAAAAATTGCAGATGATGAATGATGACAAAAAAAAGAAAAAAGTTTCTATGGTAGAAGAATTGGAAAGTTTATACTTTATCGTGAACAAAGTTAGTTGAAACATGATTTAGCCGAAATACATTTACACCTAACACATCATTATCTGATTATTTGTAACATGATTTATGAAACAAAAATAAATGTGATTATATATATATATATATATATATATATATATAAAGGAAATGTGATTATATTCTTGTACTAATATAATCGTGCATGCCTGAAAAGTTTACGACGACAGGCCTCTATCTCCAAAACCGTGATGTAACACGACAAGTGGGGTCAGCTGACCCCTACTAATTTATAAAATTCTATTATATATCTTAACATTAAATCTAATGAATCCAACTAAAATTATTTCTGGACCTATTGATCAAATCAAAAACTAATTTACATACATGAAAAGTTTAATCTATACTATATAAAAATCGAGGCCATAAGCTTCTGAGGCTCTCCACATTGGATTTTAAAAACGCGATGTTATTAATGTGCAACTAGCCAGACACGCGTCATCTTTTCTATGATTACTTTCCTCTTTATATATCAAAACTCTTGTATGAGATAATTAAGTTGAATGAGAAAGTTTATCTTCTTCCATCTTCTTCAAGCTTTCCTTAAGGTTTTGTGAAAGCGTTCAAACTCAACCTGATTGAACAACTCTACCTGATGGCGTCTATTTCGATGATCTGCGAGAGTTGCCTCGTTTTGTTGAACAACATGCCTTCAATGGTTTCCGGACATGTTGAAACTCCTGCCCAAATTAAAAATTCATTTATGGCTATATATAATCTATCTTAGTACATGTCCTTCTGTTTAATCTATCAAACTAAATTAATATATGTTTAAAAGAAATATTGGATCATAGTTGTAAGTTGTAACATTTGTTTGGATAGATTATGATTCTAGTTACAAAATAAATAAATAAAACGTAACTAGAACTCCTTTATTCTTGAATATGGTAATCTATAGAGATCAAACATGAGAATTTTTTGTATAATTGTTGTTTATCTTGTCATTGTTTAGTTTTATCAGTCCTTCACGGAGAAGACTGTTGTGGAGGTGCATCGGGGTGTCGTTGGTGTCGCAGCCTTTAGGAGTGGCAAGCAACAGCAAACATTTATGCAGCTTTATACTCCTAAATCTTTAATTCGCTTCACATCCAACAAAATCTGTTTCACTACTCTCCTTACGAGTGATGGATAACCTTGCCACACTTTATCCCCTATATATTAATAGAGAAACATATTTTTTAAAAAACCTTACCATCATGTGTTATTAACAAGATTGCCACGCTGATGTGTCGCTCTCACAATGATTTGACTTCTATTTAAATAATTACACAAGATTTATAGACTATTTACATAATTTGCCATTAGTCTCATACATCCATATATCCCATTAATAATTAAAAACATACACTTTTTGTTTATCTTATATTACTATATTTTTATATTTATATTTTTCTTTATATACATTTATATAAATTTTCTTTAGCGGATGGGTAAACAATCTTTTTATTTATATTTATATTTAAATGATAAAATATATACATTTGGTTCGAGAATCTCTAATTCAAAACTACAAAATCTTTACATCTTTCATAAATTTTTTACTTAAATAAATAAGATAAACCACATTTGTATATAAACCAAAATCTGGCCACATTATAACCATTTCGTAAATAATCCATTCATAATCTAAGAATCTTAGATTTGGAACACTACAAAATCTTAGTTTGGAAACTATCAAATCTCATCTTTGCTAAATTTTGGATTTCTTATACTTATTAAAAAAAAAATTATTTTATACTACAAAATCTCGAAATCTTTAAAACATACGGAAAGACATATTACCATAAATGGTAACATTTCGGCAATATTTTTTTATCACGTTGAAGCTTTATTCAAAGTTCAAATATTTCACGGGTAAAACATATTCTTATATGAAATAGTCCCAAATTTGAATAAAACAAAAAAAAAATTTGTAACATGTTTCGTTTTACACAAACGGATCTTGGATCCCGGATAATAATTTTAATCATAATAATTTTACTTGAATCACTTCATCCCGCACATCGTGCGGGTTGTTATCTAGTTTTATTTTATTTTTGATAACTGTGGGATCCCAAAGGCTTCCTAGGCCCAAAGACTAATTCACGAGGCCTTGCATCCGGGTACGCTTTATCCCATCGTTAAGGGAGCGGCTAGGTGGCCAACCCGAATCGAACCCAGGAGGGGGAACTCACAGCCGTGAGCCCTTTACCAACTGGGCCAACGTGGGTTGGTTAAACCCTGCCACAATTTATATTTGCAAAAGAAATCGAAAAGGTTTTTAATAATCATAACCATCATCATACATATTCGAATTCGTAATCATCAAGTTATGCTTAAATTTTTACATTGAACATATATATATTTTCTGTTTGATTTGGTTTACAAAAAAAAAAAAAAAAAAGAACTGAAAATGTGTGTTTATTCTTACGAAATTATTATAATATATGGAACAAAATAGTCAACACATAACACGAAAATTAACAAAATAGTTAAAATTTAAAATCTCTTCTAGAAGTTATGAACACTATACAATGTATGAATTAGGGTATTAAACGGGTAGTGATTACTGATTTGAGCCTGAGGTACCCGAACTATCCTTACGAAACCCAAATGACATTATCCTTGATACCAAAGTTAGTAACTAGTAAGTTACT